GCAGCAGTGATTGTCAGGATAGAGAAAGACTTGGCAGCAGGTCATTCTGCTGTCCTTTGGGTCCCATGGGTCGGATACAAGTCCACAGCACACCTGCCAACAGCATCCACATACCATGTCCGATTGTCCACTGGTACCTCATGAGAAGCAACATTAGCCACTAGCCGGTTCACCTACAGTCCTTTAGTCTGATCGTCTCCAAACCAAATTAAACTGGTGGCGATTGAGCTGACAGCTTTCCACGGTCCGCTTTAAAAATTGCAGACCACACCCCTGAAGAGCCTTTCTTCCAATTACATGAAGATGGTGACCAAATCAAGGGGCTGCATCCAACCACAACTGCTGGCTGCCCACAGAGTCACTTACCTTAGGTGAGATCCCCCCAGGGAGTTGAATGCCTGGTGTTAGATCACATCAAGTGAGATTCCTGCCAAATTATTACGAACCCTGGCCCAACTCAGCGACACAAAACCGAACTATCACATTGACCCGAGATTATATGGCTAGTCAATGCTAGAGCCAAAATTCAACTTCATATCTGTCTGACTCAAGTCCGTCTCTTACCTTCACACATCACCACACAGAACCCACCATCCCAAATCCTATCCACCCTTTGAGGCGCATCTCAGTGGCCGCCTCCTTGGGTCTCATTGGGTGACCTTGGTTTCTCCTTTGCTCCCCCCCCCTACTCCCAACCCCACCCCCCAAATACTTCACTCCTCTGTGTACCGCTAACTACATTTTGGGAACTCCGCCCAGGACGGCGTCTTCTCTGCACACTTAGACTAGTCCAGTTCCCACGACACTGGATGGCCCAGTTAGTGTTTCCTAGATTGGGTTGAGCTGAACCAGACAACACTGAGGTCCAATGGCCCTCCATCTCTTAATAGTCATGGGGCCTGTTGGCCACCAGTTCCTCTCAGCATCTGCTGTCAGGTGCAGTTTAGTTTCTCTCTTAGGACAGATCTCCGGGGCAATGCCTTGCCCCTGGTTTCATCCCAGCCACGTGCCTTCCCATAGCCTTAGTTTGTCTGTTCACTTTGGTTAAATTAACGCACCTGGTGGTGTGGTGGGCTCTACACTGAGCTCTTAATCACCATGTCAGTGGTTTGAACTCACCAGTATCTTCATAGGAGAAAGATGGGGCTGTCTGCTCCCCCCAGAAGTCTCCTCAATTGAGGTTTTTCCTTCGGGGTAGGGGTGGGGGGGGGTACTGTCTTCTCTCTCTCTCTGTGTGTGTGTGTGTGTGTGTGTGTGTGTGTGTGTGTGTGTGTGTGTGTGTGTGTATGTGTTTTCCAGTATATGAAATCCAGGATAGGTAAATCTATAGAGACAGTAACTGGATCGATGTCTTCTTGGGAGTGTGGGAAGGGAGGCCGAAGGGAAATGGGGAGCTGATCACGAGTACACGAAAGAAGGAAGTGCTGTAGAACTGATTGTTTTAATATGACTGAACCATGGGAGTATATAATTTGTGAATTATATATCAATAAAACTTAAAAAGAGACTTACGTCTTGGAAAGTTCTACTCGGTCCAGCTGGGTCACTGCATGTTGCAATCAACTCCATGGCTGTGCGTGAGTTTGGTTAGATTTGTTCTGGCTTTGCGAGGTCACTGGGCCATGGGGAGTCTGTGGATCCTACCCCACGGACAGCCCCTCATCCAGTCAGTAGCCCATTGGGTACTTACTACGTGCCAGGTGCCTACTGGACGTTGGCTGCTCAGAGGCCAAGTTTGCTCTGAGGAGCTTCCACCTCATCAGGGAAGAGAATATAACAGCAGTCTTTACCAGTGAGCTGGGCCCTGCTACACATTGTGTAGGGCAGTCTACTCTTGTTCAGGAAGACAGAAAAGACGTCCCATGGCAGGGGAAGCCTGGAGGATGAATCCGGAGAGAGGATGGTATCGGGCAAAGGGAAGACTGTGTGTGGAAGCCACACCCCTAGGAATGAGCCGTGGACACTGGAGAGCCAGGAAGGGGATCAGTTGCTGCTGGAAGAGATCAAGCATGGGACCAGGGGAGGGCCCTGGGGCCAGCAGAGGTCAGAAGGCCTCCTAACACCTGCCTGATGAAGCAGTTGCTTCTCTCCACCGATAATAGTTCCTCCACTTGGAGACCCTCCAAGATCCCAGAATGGCCGGCGATGACACCGTCCCCACACAGGTCCCTTTCTCAGAAACAGGAGGGCCAGGATTGGTGGGACTTCGGCGGGTGGTGCCAGCATGATTTTCCATTTAATTTGTAAACTTCAAAGGCGACTTGGGAAAAGAGAGGCAAGCTAAGATGGGTACAGAAGGCCATCAACGGCAAGAGAAATAAGAGCAGAAAGAGCACATGGAGGGTGCCTGAGGATGCATGCCATGCAGGCAAGCCCAGCCCCTGAATCTGAGCCTCCTCCCAGCCACGGCGAAAAAGGAAAGCAGGTGCCTGATACACGTGTTCTTTGTTGTGCTCCAGGAGGACGTCCATCTCTGGGAACTGGAAGGCCAACACAGGTTCTGCCATGCTGGAGCAGGTGGCCATGACTGAAAGGTGAGAGACGAAAGAGGAGTGGGGACAGCTGCCCTCCGTGATGGGAACTGGAGTGGAGATGCTCCACTGCCCCCCACTCCACCTCTGCCCAGGGCCTCTGGCCTCACAAAGCAATCGCTTAGGCATGGCATCCACCACTGCCCACAAGAACGCTGACAGGGAGGTATGGTCCATAACCCCCATAGCAGTGGGTTACTTGTTAGGCTGCTAACTGCGAAGTCAGCAGTTCGAACCCACCAGCCACTCCTCAGGAGAAAGATGAGGTTATCCACGTCCATAAAGAGTGACCATCTCAGAAACCCACGGGGCAGTTCTACCTTGCCCCATAGGGTCGCCGTGAGTTGGAGTCCACTTGGCGGCAGTGAGCTTGGAACAGGTGGCGAAGGAAGTCCAGTGGTGGTGGGGGGGTGGTGGTGACTTGCCTACATCATGAAACTGACCCCTGGCAGAGCTGAGTCGAAGTGTGATGTCTTGACCCGAAGGCCCACCAGACCCTACCCAGCTCCTTCTGGGGGAGGGCAGGGATCCCCAACAGATACGAGGAAGCCTCCTCGGGAGGGCACTCTGGAGGTGCTGGGGCCCCCTCCTCTCTCAGGCTTATTTCCATCTCAGTAGGAAGAGGGAGAGGCTGGTTGTCCATGGGGGGCTCTGGAGTGTGCCCTGGCAGAAGGCCCCAGAACAGAGGCCCTGTGTAGTGTTTCTGAGGCTGTAGATCTTTATGGGAGAAGACAGCCTCATGCTTCTTCCAAGGAGCCACTGGTGGATTTGAACCCACCCTTCACAGCCCAACGCTCACCCAACAATGCCACTAGGGCACCTTTCAACCACAATAGGGAGAGACCCATGGCCAAGTCGGAGGCCAAAGGTGAGGGGGATGGACAGGGATGTCGTAAGTTTGCCCCCCCCCACTTCCTCCCCATCAACGCCAGATAACAGGTGCACCCTTCAATCTCAGGACTTCCCTGGGCTGGCTGGTCTCCAGCGACTGGGCTCATGACTTGGCACACTGACTCACCTGGTTGGGGCAGTCCCTCTCCGCATCCCCCAGGGGACATCCAGGAGTCATACGTGGTGGCCCTGCCCACTGTTGCCTTTCCCAGATAGGACTCCTAGCCTTCCCCAGTGCCCACCAGCTGCTCAGAGACATCCCTAGCAGGCCACCATCGCCCTGTCCCTCCTGCCTCCGGGGTCACCGTGGAGCCTGCCTGCGGAATCCCAGCATGGGAGTGGCCTGCTCAGGGTTTGTCAGACTCTGGGTTTGACAGCAGCATGGCCCCAGACTGGCCTCTCTGAGCCACGGTTTACTCATCAGTAGAGTGAGTTAAAACCAACCGACCCGCACGAGTTGCTTCAGGGATAGAGAGGGGAGAGGAGAGGTCCTTGAGGCTGGCCCAGAGGGGGACCTCTGCCATATTTGAGTCTCCTCTTACTTTACAGTCTCCTTACTGCTCAAGAGGGGTGGGTGAGGGCGGTAGACAGCAGATCCGAACAAGCCTGCCTTGTTGTGTGCCCCAGGCGAGCCACGGTCCCTCTCCGGGCCTCTGTGAACATGGGTGGACTAGATGAGAGGGTAGCATCCAAGAACTCTTCAGGCCCTGCCTCATTCCGGCTTCCTCATTCCAGCTGGGAGACACCAGGAGATCCCTGCAGGCACCCGAGTGACCCCGGAGGGTGGGGAGAGACAAGTCTCCTGTGATTCCCTGGAGCTAGCCACCACAGAGAAGCCCAGGGCAAGTGGGGACGATTTCTCCAGTCACAACCGCCCCTGGTGGCAGGTCCACATCCAGCACTGGGCTCTCTCCCCTGCAAAAGCCATGGGGTCTGGGGAGCCAGGCCCCCAGGGCTGGGCAGGAGCAGCCTGCCCTCCCCAGGCTCTGAGGAGAATGTACCCTTTGTCCCCCTGAAGCTCTGGTATGGCCCGGGCCCTGGGGGCTGGGCGGGTGGCTAGGCAGGCTGTTTGGAGTGCTTGAAGCCGTTTTCCCCAGGGGAAGGGGTGCTGGGGACCAGGGGGTCAGTGGAGCTGAGCCGGCTGCCTTCTACTGGGAGCCAGCAGGTCCTACAGGTGCAGGGGCTTCTGATGTCCCTAAGTTCTCACTCCTCCCCCACCCCTCCTCTCTCCTATCCTTCCTGGCTGCCTCTGGCCCCTTCTCTGTCCCTCCCATCTGGATCTCTGCCTCCATCACTGGCCCCTACCCTTCGCTCCGCCTCTAACCCTCTGTCTCTCCTGCTCGGCCTCTCTCTGCCTCTCTCACTGCCTGCTTGTCTCTGTACTTATCTCCCTAAGCTGTGCCCTGCTCTGTCTCTCTCTGTCTCTCTCGGCTCACCCTGCCCCGCACTCACTGCCTGTATTAGTCTGGGTAAACTAGGGAAATAAAGCCACAGAAACTCATATGTATAAGAGAGGGTTTTATATAAAGGGTACATGTATATTCAGAAAGCATTCCAACCCAGTGCTGTCCAATCCCATAAGTACAACATTAGCCCATACGTCCAACACCAATCCACAAAGTCCTCCTCCATCTCACAAAACACACACTGTGATGCTGACTGCAGGAGGAAAGCCGAGTCAGTGAGTGTGTAAACATCTCAGCACTGACAGGGGTCTCCATGAGGCTGCTCCAGCACACAGGGCTGCATCGGGGTGGGTCCATGTGGCTTCTCCTCGGGGATGTCTTGCAGGAAGTCAGCCTTGCCAGCTGAAGCAGGGAACTGGCTAAGGCAGCTGCACCCTGGTCCGACCATCACAAAGCAAGAGACCTGAGAACAAGAAAGGCGAGGCTCACTGGGCCATTTATCTCTCCTCCCTTCAATTAACCCCACGTGCTTATTGGCCAGGTTGGCACAATAAACCATAACTATCTCTCTGTCCGCATCCCTGCAGGTACAAGCTGTGGGTGGACAGCTGCTCAGAAATGTTCGGTGGCCTGGACATCTGCGCCGTCAAAGCTGTCCACAGCAAGGATGGCAGGGATTACATCATTGAGGTGAGGGGTGCACCAAGCAGTCCTTCTCTGCCAGCCCGACCCCAGGCAGGGGTGGCAAGGAACGGGACCGGAGCTGTGATCTCCAGTGTGCTCAGCGGAGCTGGGCACACTCAACCCAGGCCTCAGGGAAAAGCTTCCAGAAGCTTCTCTCAGACTGTCCTCACGTGCCCTCTGCTCCCCATCCTCATGTGCATCGCCCCAACAACTGCCCACAGGTTCCAAACAGCGCCTCCAGGGGTCAGGGCAAGCTGAGTGCTGGTCCCCCCAGCCTGTGGCCTAAGAAAGAATAGGGGCGAGAGGCCAGGGTCAGTCCCTCTGGGCCTCTCAGAGTTCCTCCATGTCCCCATGTGTAAAATAGGCACACTGCCCCAAGATCCGGAGACCCCATCACGTATCCATGCAATTAACATGCACTTCCCTAGGGGCCCCCTTGGGCGAGGCCTGGGATATGACTCTGAGGAGACAGGCCTGAGCAAGCACGCAGGGGCTCTGCAGGCTGGGAGGGAAGACGGACAAATGAGGAGTCATGGCAGAAGGTGGGACTGGGGACTGAGGAAAAGATGCCAGACCAGGGATGGGCTGGGGGAGGGGGCCTGGGGAGATGTGAGGAAACACAATTGTATGGGAGAGACACTCAGGGGAGCTCTGGGTCCGAATCTCCCCCACAATCCTTTGCTGGCCGTGCTGTTCACGGACCTACAAACTGTTCCCACTGTGTCTCAGAGCCCCACAAGCCTCCTCTCCTGGCTGTGTTGCTTCCAGGACTCTCTCATGGGTCCCTAGTCCTCCCTTCCCAATCCCCCAACCCTCTCTCCTCCAGGACACCTCCCATCTCTCACGTGGTCCTACACTCCCCTCTCCTACAGAACTGTCTCCCTGTGTCTCATAATCCCACAGTCCCCCTCTCCCAACCCCACAACCTCCCTCTGTCTTCTAAGAGTCTCTGTGTCTCATGTCCTCCCTCCTCTCCCCTCCACTCCCCATGAGTGCCTCTCCCAGCCCCCAGTCCCGTCTCCCCACCACACCTCCTCCCCAGCGGCTTCTGCCTCAGACTCCTCCTTTCCACACACTCAGCGCTGCTCATAAGCCCTCCAGCCCCATCTGGCCTCCAGGACTGGCTCCCATGGTCCCTCTATCCTCCTCATCCAACCCGCACTCTCCTCCAGGACCACCTCCTCCCCCATCATCTCTCTGAGGGTCCCACCATGCTCCTGTCCAAGTCCCGCAGTCCCCTCCCACCTCCGTGTCCTTCAGGGTCCCGTCACCATGTCCTCCCACAGCACTTGCCCCATGTTTCTCCCTGTTCCCCACGAACTAGACCTCCTCTCCCTTCCTCGCCGCCCCTCTCCTGCCCCTCCCTCCCCTCCACCACCCTCTGTGGTCTCCCTGCCTCTGGCCTACAAAATGAGCCCTGGAGCCTCCACTCTTCCTGCCCTCCACCCCCACCCCTGGGCCACCCCCTACCCCCAGCTCCTCCTGTGGCCTCTCTTCAAACCACAGCAGGGGAGCTGTGCCGACCAAAGAGAGACACATGAGGGCCAGTCCTGGCTGCCTGCTCCTCAGGCCATGGGCTGTAGGTGGCAGACAGAAAGTAGAGGGCTGAAGGAACCCCGGCCAGTCAGCCCTCAGGGCTGCCCCACTCCCTAGGGGACCACAGCCCGGCAGGGCCCGGTAACTCCAGAATGGGGGCCTCCTGGTCCCTGCCAGCCCTGCCAAGAGAAGCTGCCCTTCCCAGGAGGGAGCAATGAGGGCACATTCCCCAGCGGGTTAGGGGATGGGGGGTTCCCTGGTCTAGAAACTTCTTCCAGCAAGGAGCACCTCTATGTGCAGCCCTGGGCTG